AGGGGAGAGTTTTCCTTCGGCCTGCTCCTGTCGATTACATTTTGAGCCTCTCCACCGAGGCGAGACCGAATCATTTGCCATAACACTTTGCTTTCAACTGGTTTCCTCTTTCTTTCCGCCTCCCGATATCCTGACTTTCCTTGTAGTAGTAGTTTTTGTTTCGTGTACCAACATCTTTATGGGTAATTAAAACTTTTTCCCATTTTTGCCTGAAAGTTGGTTTTTGTTTTGCCCAATCCAATACCAATTCGAATCCCAAACCCCATTACCCATTCCCCAACCAAAACCCTTGTTCCATTCCACATTCAACTTCCTGTGTTCTAGTCAAATTTATTGCTGTTCAATAATACCAATTTTTGGCCTTTCTTTTGCCGGAGATGCCAACAGATGTGTTGGCAAACTATTTCGGCCCGGAATAGTTTTCGGAGCACGTTTGTGTTCACACTCGAGTGTTCCACATTATTGAAATTGAAGCGCGGTAATGTGTCTGCAATTTTTGGTCTGGCCTTCCGCCGTTCCCCTTCCCGTTTCCCTTCCCAACTTTTCGGCATTCCGCGCTTGGCAAATTATTTTCGGCTGCCAATGTTCCTCGCTTATCTCGGCAACTTTGCGGGGTTATTTGTGGCCCGAACTTTGAGTTCCGTTCCGCCAAGTGCAATTTCTTCATATCGATAAGAAGTGCAAATAATGGTTGGAAAAAGGAAGAAAGGAAGTAAAGCTATCCGAAAAAGTCTGGGCAAAGTATTGTTTCGGAGGTATAAATACCAAAGAAATTTTATAACGATCCTATATTTATTTCTATAATTGTTTCATAGTGAAAAAATGAATGAAATGCAAAAAACCTACATTAAAAGCCTAGGCAACGTATAAATGGTTTCTGCTAGAAAATTAGAAAGTATAAGCACCAAAGAAATTTTTTAGTAAACCTACCTTAATTTTAAACATTTCTTTATATCGATGAGATGTGCAAAAATTCGAAAAAGTATTGTTCTGCATGGAAAGTAGGAACTGAAAATTCCAAATAAATTTTATAATAATCCTATGTTAATTCCTTAAAAGCAAGAGATTTTTAAGAGCCTCATTTAAGTCAGCCCAAGTTTAATTCATTAAGCCCAGTTGAAAACTCGACATATATCTAAATAAAGACACTCAAAGTTGAAATCTCTTCAGCTCTGGACCAACTCAAGCATGAACCTGTGAATGGACTTATTGTTATAATAAGCAGCCATCCTAGCCAACTCTTAACCCTACCCCGAAAACAGGGAAAACCCATTCCCCAAACCTCTTCGAAAGCAGCTTTCCTGCATTATCTATCTGGGGGAAGCTGGGGAAGAGGAAGGACCCGGTCTTATCGCAAATTTTCGAGTATTAACGCATCGTGGGGAAACTTCCGCTTGTTTGCCGAGCGGCTTAGAAGACTCACACACAACTAGGCCATCACAATCCCACATCCGCCAAGACAAATTGCAGATTGGTAGACTCCCCTTACAGGACCTTCTCTTCAATTCGCCTTCGGGTGCGTGGAACAAAGGAAAATCCATATTTTATTTTGATTATTTTCCGGCGCCTCGGCAGGTGTCGATTTCGTGTGATTTTTCTTTTGGGGCGAAATTAAATTTAGCCAGGGACTTTCTCCGCCACCCGCACACTCAAATCAGCGTCAATCAATTTTGGTCGCTTTCGTCAGACAAAAACAAGCCCAAAGAAACCCAGAAAGAACCCCACCACCAGAGTCTCCTTTTGTAATGGGAAAATTATTGAATTTGTCAACGACTGCCGCAGGCACAGCCAACCTTCAGTCCAAAAAATTAGGATGAAGAACGAAGGCTTTAAGCCCGGCGAAATTAAAGAGCTGCAAGATTTATGCGACTGTTGTAGGTGTCAGGCAAACAGAATTATGTTTGGAAACGATTTTCCACCTTTGCCGTCATACATCATCGGGGGTGTACAGAACCCCCAACAAAAGCCGGCAAAACAACCCTCCAACGTTAACAAATTTCTTTGCGACGTTTTTAAATTTTGGTTTATACATTTTTTTTTTGTGCTGACGGAGGGGAGCGGCTAATGTAAATCGCATGTGTGTTTGTATGACCTACGCCTTATTTAGTGAAGCGCCCCACACAGCCAACAGCCGAGAGCCAAGTGATTTGTTGACAAAGAAATTTTTTAATAATTCACCGAGTCACAGGAGCGGGCGGAAATCTCATTCAGCATAAGTGATGATGTAATTTTCGCTAAAAATTGAAAAAATCTCCACGCAGGCAGGAGTGTTTCGAAGGAGGGGTGGCGGGGGTTAGGTAACCCCTCACGTAAAATATGTTGCAACAATATGTTGAGTTAGAGTCGAGTCGAGTTGAGTGTGTGCGGATGACGATGATGAATGGGGCACGCATGCGTTGCACTGATTCCACTGACGGACTGGCTGACAATCCCGTCACGGATCCTGGCGAATAATATGACCCTTCAAAGGTCCTTGTATGTAGGTAGTCCATCATTGAGGGAAGGAGTTGGAGATGGAGAGGGAGCTTGAGTTCATAATGTACACGTGGTCCAGGATCTTTATGATATAGGAGATATATAAAGAGATATTATCCTGAAACCTTTAAAAATAATTTCCAAAATAAATGCAATATTCCAGGGCCACCTTCAGGTAATCAGGAGATATTTCAACACAATATTTTCACATCTTTCTAAAACGCTTAATAATTATTTCTTAAGTAAATAGAAAACTACTCAATATATTTGGAATCCAATATTCCAAATCCATTAACCATAAATTACACATTGCAGGCTAGTGAACCTTGTAATGGCCACCCATTACTAGACCTGCAAACCCAAGAAACTCCCCCAGAATTACCCAGATGACTCAATGTTCTCCTCAGGGAAGAAAACTTCCTTTCGCCCCCCTGAAAATGATAGTCGGAAGGAAGCTGGACAACTTTTAATGCCTGCTGTCGATGGTCATGTGCATAGCTCATTAGTTTTTGCCTAATTTGAAAGGCAGGCGTTCGAACCGAAGTTCGGTTGCTCGGCTGGCCTAATGGAATTCAATCAATTTCCATTTATTTCGATAGCGAAAGTCGCACCACCACAAGTGGGGACCAGAAAAGTGCGGTTCCAAGAGGGGGAACTGAAAAATTTCTTAATTATCCTGACGTGACGCTTGTGGGCGGCTTGGTTGACAAGCTTTTTAGCCTCCGCCGCCTTTTCCTTTCCCCTGCCAAATTTGTGGGCAGTCTGTTTTCTTAATGTTCGCGGACAAAGCAAGACAAATGAGTCGGGAATCACGTCGGGAAAATGTTCAAATAAAATACTTTAAGCTGCAAAAAATACGCAGAAAATCTGCAAATCGAGAGCTTGGATTTCACTTCTCGAAAATTTAAACTTATACATTTTGATTGAAGAGCAAATCGCTTTTTTTCGATAATAATCCCAGTTGAAAACAATATGCCACAAATGTCAATACAACAATACACGGAGCCAAAATGAAAATCCCTAAAAAATTCTCTGTCTTTTCAGCCAAGGGGCGAAAAAGGATGAAAATGGTGAAAAGCTTATATAATCTGCTTATCAAAAGGCTGCAGCCCTTTTTTTTTGCTCCGAGGACTCCTTCTTTTGTCCCTAGGGACAAACGCAACTGTTCCAAGAAAAATGGAATGAAAATTGTAAACAAAAAAGAAGTGAAAATTTGATTTGCATTTCTATCACAAGATGAAGTGGAAATTCAATTGTTCTCATTTTTAGGTTTCATCACGCCTTTTTTTGTTTTGTGTTGCAGGGAGTTTTATAGAAATCATATAAAGGAACAGTCTTTCTAATTTTATTAAATTCTGTGTTGGACAAACCAATAAATTTTAATTATTAATTATACAATTTGATTAAGCTTTATATTTTAATTAAATATTTCTAAAAAATAATAAAGGAACTCATCTGAATGTCAATCACATCACCTGCCTTTTCTCATTAAAAGCAATGACTATATTATGCAACATAATTGCCTATGTATCGCTATATTCATAGCCCCTAGCTATACTACAAAATAACACCTATATATAAACGTATATTTACGTTGTACCTTCATTTGGATTATGCAAGACGTCGGTTCAAAAAAAGTGCATGCTGCAAGCCAAAGGGAAGTGCGCAAAATCTGTAAGTTAAATCTGGCTCTGAGGACCAGAGGCTGAAACAAGAGCAGCCGTCGAAAGGGAAACGAACTGGGAAACCCAAAGAGATTCCAAAGCCAAGATGCGCCTCAATTATAATGAGAAATGCAAACGAATCGGAAATAATTTTCAATTCACTTGTTTCCCACCTACTTTCGTGTGTCTTTTGGTTTTGCGATCCTCAAATATTTATGCCCCCTTTGTTTTCATTATTTATTTGACTCGCCAAACTTTAGCCGGCAGCCCGAAATCGAAATCAGAAACCGAAACCGAATCAGACGCACCTTTTTTGGTAAGTTAAGGGGTTACCATTGGATTGATAAAGCTGTTAATGTGTTTTTTAGGAACGGAGGATCTCGTGTCTGGAGGAGTGGCTTGTTTGCAAACGATAAGCGCAGCTCCTGCGGCAAAATAATGAATTATTTATGTAAGGCAGAAAACAGAGGGCATGCATTTGGCATAACTGAATGAATACGTTAAGACCGAAATTAATTGGGAAGGACTACACAAAGGAAGGCTGTTATAAATCCAAAATAAAACCGAAAGTAGCAAGGTTTTTAAATGGTAAATATAATTAATTTAGTATGAAAACAAATTAATATTTAATTAATATTAAACGGAATAAATCCGTAAAAATGAGATGCTTTTTCCGAAGATTCAGTTTTAATTTCAGATAGAAAATAGAAAATTTCAGATTATAAATCCAAAATAAAACCGAAAGTAGCAAGGTTTTTAAATGGAAAAAAAAATAAATTTAATAAAAAAAAAAAAAATTTAAAAAAAAATAAAAGGAAAAAATAAAAAAAAAAATTTTTTAAATTTTTTAAAAATTTGGGATTAATTATAGCCGGAAATCGTTAAAAAGCCAGTTCCGCGTGGACGCTTAGAGTCCTGATTCTGCTGATTCTCCATATCCTGGCGGCGCTTGAAGCCCGGCGGCTGACCATTTCCCTGGCGGTAGAACTTGAAAGGTAGCCCATTGGAGGTCCGATTCGCCTGGTTGCCCCCTTTGCTCGACCGGTCGACGAACTTGACCTGGAGCGGCTTAAAGCTGCCCCTGATGAGATGCTGATTCAGCCCGAACTTGGCCATCTCCGCGTGGCGTTGCTGCTCGAATCGCACGAAGGCCACTCCACGTGGCTGCCGGTCGTACTTGCTGCGCAGGACATTCACATCCAAAACGGGTCCGTAGCTGGCGAAGAGTTCGCGCACCCGCTGCTCATCCATGAAGCTCGGCAGGTGGGCCACGTACAGGTTGGTCTGGCCCACCTGGTCGTCGGAGGATCGGGCGTAGGACACCTTGATCCGCTTGTCGCGCACCTCGTACCCGTCCATGCAGATCTGGGCAGCAGCCGCCTGGCGGGGAGACACAAACTCCACGAATCCGTAGCAGCTGCTCTTGCCCGTCCTGGGATCCCGGACGATCTTATGCTTCCGGATCTCGCCGAACCGGGAGAACGTGTGACGCAGCTCCGACTCCGTCATGTCGTGCGGCAAGTAGTTGATGATCAGGTTCGTCAGGTGGCCCAAACCATTTCCACCTCCTCCTCCGTCTCCTCCTCCTCCGCGTCCTGCAAACTGATCCACGGGGTTCTGCACCGGGGTCTTGGTTTGGAACACTCCGTAGCCGGCGTAACCCCAGCGCAACGTCTGGTTGGAGGTATCCATTACTCCGTGTTACTCTTCAATAGAAGCAGAGGTGTTAAAATTATTAAAATGGTGTTGTGGAAGTAAAAAACACGTACTTACTTAAGTTTTCTGAAAATTATGACAAATGACTTATAATACTGGTACCCCAGACTTTGCAGCACTACTTGACAGTTAACACTATGGTTCCTAGTTTTGGAAAGCCCTACATTTCTATGTTAAAACACTGAAGTTTATGGATAGCTCTACCCGGCCTTTGTCGCTCACGTACCATGTAGAAAACAGTGACAGAGATTCTAGAACGTTGAGCTCTATTGACTCAGTAAATCCATTAAAACAGCGCTTTTTAATCCTCAAGGCTGTCGGCAATGACTTTTCCCACTTCCAGATGCAAATGAAATAAATGAATAAATTCCTGCCATCGCTGATTTGGCTGAGAAGTTCCAAGGCCCGAGACAAAATGAAACCCTTTATGTGCACAAGGTGCAAAAGTTTCTGAAAAGTTTTCCAGCTGTTTATTTATTTGTTTGCTGATTATGGAATTTCAACGTTGCCGATTCGAAGGTGGGAGAACTGCACTGGGGAATGCGAGAATTGCGCAGGTGAAAATTAAATTGGATGTGGGATATTTCGGGGAAATCAACATGGAACTCATCGACCACTGATCGGCCATCGAATATCCTCTGGGAATCGCCGAAAGTAAACTTGTTCATTATTTCTTTTTTTTTTATTTAGCCTCTTATTAATTAATTTCCATTTCCGCTTTGCTTATCTTGGCTACGCCGATTTTTACCTTCATGCTGACTAGACAATTAATCAAGTTTAATTACTCAAACGCTGCGGGAGGAGGCCACCAGCTCCTCATCGGGGATTTGGGGGTGGAGGACTCCCCCGGGGATCAGGACCAGCGGATTCGCATTCGCCCGATGCGGTGGGCATCTGCATTAATCACTCGAATATGCTTACATTTCTCAGCGCCATGTGTGGGGCAGGGGCTCCCCCAGAATAAAACTGGGCAGGACCCAGATAAAACCCGCCATTAAAGGACGCCGCACGTAAACAATACATCCGGATGAGGTGGGTCGTTTACATATTTTCGCAGCGAATAACTTAGGAGCAGGCAGGGTAAATGGTTCTCGGCTGCTAGGTATATTTTGGACAATAATAAAATGCTTTTTACAGTATACTGGAGAACCCAAGGATTAATGATTCCCATATTCTAGAGATGCCCGTCTCCTTTCGTTGCTGGAGCTCTTGATCCTTTACACTTTGCTATAATCGGTTATGGATTTTTTCAGATTTTTTTTAAGTACAGACATTTTTTTATAACCGGTTTTAATTTAAACCTTTTTACATCCCACATTATTTACATGTTGTTTAAGATTTCAAATGTAGTGGCGCCACTTCAAATATTTAGCACATTTTAATAACTCTTTAAATAAAAACTATTTTTTAATACAATTAAAACGACTACGACGCCTTATAAATTTTTAAGAATAAAATTATAAACGTTATATCCTTATATTTTTAACAATTTATTTTTAATTTAAAGGTGAAAGTCAGATGTCGCTTCTGTGTTGGGTAGTAAAATCCATGTAACAATATCCCTAATTCTCCATGTAAAAAAGGAGGTTTTGTAAATCTGATAAAAATGTGGCTTAAATTCTGTAAAAAAAAATTTTTTTTTAAGGACAGTGACTTCTTGAAAACCATATTTACATAGGATTTTATCCGAGAGGGGTGGAATTTAACACCCAAAATAGACACATTTCCTTGCTCTTTAAATACAAACTTTATTAACTTCACGTAATAAAAATCTTCACTCCATAAATTCATAGAAAGTGTTTGGGGCACGCTAGTTCTACATGGTCGGTTAACAAAGGAGCTTCGTCTCGAAGCCAGTTACTAATGATAAAAATGTTATACATGTCTGGGAGGATCACACAATAAATACGCAAGTTCAGTTTGACTACTAACTTAAGGTGTGCTAACAGTGGCTGTGAAAAACGTTCATAGGCGGTATGAAGTCCATTTACTAAGGGTTAAGCCTCAATTCTACAGAATGCTACGATATTCGTCTTAGATTTAATTTCTGAAGGATCTCTTTAGACCTCCTTTGCATCGATGATCTCGAACCGCAGGTCATACTGCTGGTCGAAACCCATGAGGCAGTCGGACATCAAGTACAACGTGAGCTGCAGACGTCCACGTCTTGGAGTTGCCTGGAAGGAAATGCGGTTGGAGCAGCGCTGGCCGCGAATGGTTAGCCGCTTCATGGCCAGGAGCTCGTCATTGGCCTGGGAGCCCAGTGTGAGGAACCAGGCTTCGTTCTTGGGCTTGGGATATTTGGGGCAGTGCACCGTGTAGCCTCCTTGTCTTCGCTGTCCGCTGGCATTAAGACGCTGGAGATTAACGGTGAGGACGTAATCCTCATTGGCATGTAGGGGCATCCATTCGCCCTTGGTGTCGCCAGAAATTGACAAGGGTCTCTTGGCATATTCATCCTCCATATAGCGACCCTCTACGGATATTTGCAGTGCGATCTCGGGAAGATCTTGAATTACCTAAAAGGGTTTACAAATTATTTAGCCTTTATCCTTTGGTTAAGTAACCTAGTCACATACCTTATACATCTGCTCGATCTCGTGCTCCTCGAAGGCATCCCTTAGAGGCTTGGCCAGCACTTCGTACTCCCTTCGGCACAGCTCCTTCAGCACGGGCAGCGTCAAGTAGTCGTGATCGTCGTGCGGTATGTTCAAAAAGGCATCCAGATTCTCCTCGTTCACTCCGGGCAGCGTTAGAAACTCGCTGCCGTCGAACCAGCGCGCCTGAATGACGCACTGCATCAGCTGCTGGACCACCAAAGTGGTCGATAGCCATCCCCTTTCCGCCGTGTAGTCCACCATGGCCTGCATCACTCGAGTGGCGTTGTCCAGCGCCGACTTGGTGTCCGTTAGGTAATCCGAATTGGGCAGCGACGAGCGGGAGAAGTGAGCCTGGAGAAGGAGGAAGGTCTTGGTGTATGGCGAGTCCCAGGAGGAGGATGGTGGCCTAAAGCGACTCGTCTCCGCCATCTGCTCGTTGTACTTGTCCTCGTTGTGCCGCACGGGCTGCTGATCGAATTCGTAGGAATCCGCAATGGCCAGGAGCACCTCCTTTGTGCTCATCCCGGGCTGCAGATCCTCCAGGAAGTGCTTCATTGTGCGGTACGACAGGTAGTAGTAGGAACTAATGCGCCCCAGGAAGGTGGGCACCAGGCAGCCATCGCGCTCCACCAGACAGGCGGCAGCGGAAAGCTCAAAGACCACGCGCTCTACTAAGCTCGACATGAAGGCATTCACATTCTCCGGCTCTACGCCCTCCAGTTGGTAGTAAGAGGGATTCCGGAGCAGCCGCCTGAAGAAGTACGTCCACGTGAGGTAATCCAAGGCAGCCTGCTTCGACTGAACAGTTCCCGCAACGATCTCCGCGTTTATGTGCTCCGCCAGCACGCCCAGCAGACTGGACTCCACGGGGAAGGGATCGTAGAGGAACTTCTTGTAGAAGTTCTTCTTCTCGTCGTGAACCAAAACGACGGCCACTCCCTCGTTGTCGAACTGCGGCCGTCCAGCTCTGCCCATCATCTGCAGCACATCCGTAATCGGCATATCCACGTACTTTTTCACCTTGCCGTCGAAATACTCGGTGCCCTTGATGACCACCAGATGGGCGGGCAGGTTGACGCCCCACGCCAGCGTGGCGGTGGCCACCAGCACCTGGATCTTGCGGTTGAGAAACAGCTCCTCCACACACTTGCGATCCTGCTCCTGCAAGCCAGCATGATGCAAACCAATGCCAAACGCCAGGCAGAACTTCAAGTTCTGATCACGAATGTTCTGCAGGATGAGCTCCATTTCGTTCTCGGCGATGTGCAGGAACTGCTTGGGATTCGAGTCGCCGGCCACGAAGGTGATGAGGTCCAGAGCCGTGAGACGCGTCTGCCGGCGCGAGGAGACGAACACAATCGTAGGCTCGCACGGGGAGTAGGTGCGAATGGCCTGGAAGGTGGGCCGGTTCATGGTGGCCATGCGGGGGCAATAGTGTTTTCCTGGAAAGCCGTTGATATGGACTTGCAGGGGAACCGGACGCACCGACGGCTTGAAGTTGTACAGGCCCATCTTGGTGATGCCCAGCCAGTTGGCCAGATCCTGGGCATTGGCCAGAGCGGTGGATAATCCGACGATCCTGATAGCTCGACCTGTGTGGGAACTAATGAAGTTTGTGCGCGAGACAATCACCTCGATGACCGGTCCACGATCCTCGCCCAGCAGGTGGATCTCATCGATGACAATGAGGGACACATGCTGCACATACTCGCGCGTCTGCCAGGAGCGACTGATGCCGTCCCACTTCTCCGGCGTGGTCACAATCAGTTGGGATTCTCTGATAGCCTGGATGTCGGGCGTGACGTCGCCAGTTAGCTCTACTACTTTCAAGCCCAAGGAGGAGCGCTGGAAACGCTGCTCCCAGTCCGAAATGCGTTCCTTCACTAGCGCTTTTAGCGGGGCAATATAAACCACCTTACATTTGGGGTTCTGGTTGAGCGCCCTGAAAATGGCTATCTCCGCCACGATGGTCTTGCCGCTGCCCGTGGGAGCGCCCAGCAAAACGTTGTTGTCGGTGTGGTAGAGGCAATGGAAGATTTGCGTTTGAATCGGATTAAAGTGGCTGAATTTGTAGAGGGATTCGTAGAGAACATTCTTTAGGCAGCTGACAGGCAGAGGACGCAGTGGCAGAAGCTCCGTGAGCGGCGGATGATGCTCCGGCAGCACCAGGTGTTGAAAGGACAATGGAATGCATGTTGTGCTGCCCAGCCAGCTGTCGCTGCTCACGCGAATGTAGTACTGCGGCGGCAGCGGCTCCTTCAGCGGAATGGTCATCACCAGCTGCTGCGACTGGCCGCTCATCACCAGCTTGCGGCTCACCTGGAACAGTTCCGAGTGGTAGATGTAGTTGGACTCGGGATCCTCGATCCACAGCCAGAAACTCTGGCTAGTCTTTCCATGCACTCGATCGTTCCACGTGAAACTCGGCCAGATGTCCACCTTGATGCGCAGCACTGTCCGCGTGATGGGCTGCAGACTGGCCTCCACCTCCAGCATGGGCAGCTCCTGGGCCGAGCGGATCACCAGCTCCGCATAGCGATCGCTGCGCAGCCACTCCTTCAGTTCCCGCTGCTCCATGTCCCTCAAGCGAAAGACACTCAGGCCGCGGCGTTCCAGCTTGTCAATGGTCTCGGCATTGATGGCGGGGAACTGCCGCAGGTGGCTATCCAGATCCCACTGCCGCCGCTCGAACATCTTGCACAGCTGCAGCATGCGGCCGGATAGAGTAGCATTATTCTGGCGCAGCACAATGGAGAAAAGAGCCCTGGTAATCCGTCCAATATTTGTGGTTATATAGGACATGTCGGAGCTGAGGGAGAAGGACTTGACGTAGCCATTGGAAAGGTAAGTCTGTATGAGGATGTTGACCTGGGGGAGAAACCATATCTTTAGCAGGAAAAAATTAACTGAAGGGTTCTGTGAATAGCAATACCTTCCCATGGATATTCTCACTTCCTCCATAAGGCTTTATCTTACAATAGTACTCCCTCAGCTCGTCCAGCTCCTCCATCTCATCATCCCGCACCTTGAGCTGCTGGAACTCCTGCGCCTGGGAAATCATGGCCAGAATCTCGGCCTCGTTCATGAATGGCTTCATCAGTTCGTTGAACGTCTCCACCGTGTCGTACTTGATGTAGAAATGCGAGGCAGTGCGTCCCAGATCGGTGATGTTCATGTCCATGGTGCGTTGGTTAAACCGCATCATTCGCGCCTTGTCCAGACTCATCGAGGCGGTCATGATCAGAGCTCGCCGTCGCGCCTCCAGCGTGGGATCCTTTTGCAGCTCCGAATATTCGATGCCGTAGACATGGGGATTTATTCGCATGCGCACAAAGAGGTAGCTGAAAGAGGAGGGAAATGAAATAGAGTCACTTAAATCAAATAGAAGCAATCACTTACGTGTAACTCAGCCACTCGATGGCCTCCTCCACATTGGTTATGGTACCTAACCCAATCTCCGCATTTAGATTATCAGCCAGGCAGTTAACAAAGTTGGATTCAATGGGAAATTGGTTAGTCAGCAAGGACAAGTAGTGATTCAGCTTGTCGTAGCTGGTGATGATGGTGCCCACGCCACTCTTGTCGAACTGGGGGCGACCGGCGCGTCCAAAGATCTGCAGCACATCGAGTATACCCAAATCCACGAAACTACCATGCTTGGCATCGTAAATGTCTGTACCCCGAATAATAACTGCGTGCGCAGGCAAATTGACACCCCAGGCGAGGGTGGCGGTGCAAACGAGCACCGAAATGTGTCCCTCGACGAAGTACTTCTCCACCATCTGCCGGTCGGCGCGCAGCATCCCAGCATGATGCATGGCCAGTCCGCAGGAGAACAGGTCCACCAGCTGCTTATTCCTGCTCCGCTGAATCGAACGCATGGCCAACCCATGGGCATTGGAGTCCTTGGGCAGGAACTGGGCACTCGTGTTGTTCTGACCCGCCAGTTCGCGAATCACATTCGCCGTTCGCACAGTGGCATTTCTGGCATGGACAAAGACCATCACCTGGTGGCCCTGCTGCACCATCTCCACGCATTTATGATAGCAGCACTGATCCATGTCGGCAATTTGCTGGAGGGGCTTCACCGACTTGATGCCCACGAAATTGGTATCCAAAGGAACGGGACGGAAGCGGGAGTCGAAGTAGAAGAGACCCTTCATGGGGTTCACGCGCAGAAAGTGCGCAACATCGATGTAATTGGGCAGGGTGGCGGATAAACCCACAATGCGGATCATGGACTGCGAGGATTCGACGAGCCGAAGGGTGCGCGCCACCAGGGCCTCCACCACGGGACCTCGCTCCCCGTGCAGCAGATGCACTTCATCGATGATCAGCAGCTTGACCAGGCTAATCAGGGCCACGTCGCCGGCGCCTGGAAGAAAATTTCGGATTAACAAAGAGTATAGGAAAAGGGCTCTAATGTGAATTGCGTGAATCATTCAATTTTTGATTTATCTGATTTGATTAATTCAATTCTATGTGAAATAAATTGAATGTTTAAATGAATGAATCATTTTTATGAATTTTTTGAATTGCCAGTTTTTTGTTTGCCTTATTTTGAGAACAAAAAGTGAAAAATTTTTAACAAATCTATTTTAACTGCTTAGTAAATAAAATTCATGCAGATTTCTTCTTCAAAAGAATTAATTAATTCGGAATTCATTCCATTCAATTCTATTAAACTCAAAATTCAAATTCATTCAATTCTATTAAACTCAAAATTCTAATTAAAAAACCAATAATTCAAAATAATTCATTGAATCCATTCAAGCAGGGCTCTAATAGGAAAGTGTATCATGAGTATATTACCCTTTCTGGTCACCACATCCCACTTCTCCGGCGTGGTCACCAGTATCTGCGTGGCCGCCATCTCCGCCTTGGTCAGCTGCATGTCGCCAGTGAGCTCGCGCACAGCAATTTGCAGGGATTTCAGTCGCTTGGAGAAGTTTTCCACCATCTCGGAGGCCAAAGCCTTCATGGGCGCTATGTAGACGATCTTGAACTCGTCCCGGTTGATCACTCCCTGCTCTAAATGGCACCTGATTGTGTGCACAATGGTCAGCATGGCCACATTCGTCTTGCCCGCTCCCGTGGGCGCACAGACCAGCATGTTCTCGTTGCTATGATAGGCCACTGGGTAGACCACCGATTGGATGCGATTCAGTTCCTTGCAGTTGGCGAAGGCCAGCCTTCCCACGTCGTCCAGCTCCTCGATTTTGATGCGCCGGTTGCCCACCGTCAAAGGAGGCGGTTCGCTGGCCGGGATCTTGACCTCCTCCCACTGTTTGTTGTCCAACCGCTGGGCAGTTTCGGGTAAAGTGATCCTGCTGCCGCCTATAAAACCAGCGCTCTGTTTGGCCAACAGTTGGCTATCGAAGACATAGGGATAGTGGATGGGCTGGGAGGACTGCTTGTACTCCGACTTAACCGCCTTGGTGCTGAGCAGCAGTGGCTCCCGCTGGGCGGCCTCCAGCAGCTTCCGCTGGTGCTGCATGCGCAGCTGCTGCACGGAGACGGCCACCGCACAGTTGGGATCCTCCTCGGGCTCCTCGTCCTTCAGGCTGCGCATGATGCGCTGCAGCTTCTTCTCCTCGCGTCGCTGCATCTTGCCCAGCTGCTTCTCCTGGGCGGATTGGACCACCACGGCACTGGCTACTGTAGGTCGTCGTTCCGCCGCAGGAGGAGCTCCACTGCGCTTCTGTTTTACCTCTTTAACGCGCCGCGATCTCGTGGCAAACTGGTCCAGCTGGCGGGCAATCTTTTCCCTTTCTTGGAGCAACTTGCCCACCAGCTCGAAGTGATCGAAGCCCAGGAGCTCCATCAGTTCGTTTTGCAGCTCCTCGCTGCTGCGCTTGGAGCCCAGGATGTCGCCCACTCGATTGAGCAGATGCTCGTCGTCCAGCTTCTCGGAGATGCCCAGCAAAGTCTGCAGCTCCGGGCTCAGTTTCTCGGAATCGGGATGCTTAACTGCCGCTGGGGCGGACTTGCTTTTGTACTTCATGGAGAACTTGTTGACGGTGCGGTTCTTGAGCAGCGCATCCGGCGCCAGATCGGTCAGCAAACTGATGTCCATCCACTCGGCGGGGGTGCATTTTACATGGATGTGCGAGCCCCACAGGGGACCAACTCCAGGGGCCTTTCGCTGCGCCTGCTGCCATCTTTTCAAGGCTGATCTCTCGTGCTCCTCCAGCAGATCACTGATGGCCAGGATGCAATCGTGGATCTGCGACTTCTTGCGATCGAAGGTCTGGCCAAACATCCCGTGCAGCCGCTGCGTGGTGGCCACCAGGAGCACCCGCTGCTCGAGGAGCAGCCAGAAGAGATAGAGCGCCGCGTGCTCCACCACCTGTGGCTGCTCCTCGTAGCCCATGCACTCCTGCACCAGGTTGCGCAGCTTCTGCAGCTGCACCTTGGCGGCTGGCTGCTTTCCGGCGGGAAATTGGGAGAGTAACCTGGCGATGGTCTGCTCTGGATTGCTGGAAGAGATCGGTTATCTACCATTTCACAGGTGGTGAAATCGCCGCTTACCCTTTTGAGCCGGTGGCGGGGGAGGGGGTGGTTCGCGCCTGGCGCAGGATGCTGAAGCGCCGGCTGCGCGCCTCCAGCTCCGTCTTGGTACGCAGGGACGCACTCAGTCGCGGCGGCTCCCACATATTTATTTATCCTTATTTTCCGCGATTCTGGGGAAGATACAATTTTCTGGCGAAAACACGAAAAACAGCTGTTTGTTAGAAGTGGAGAAACATCGACCAAAACATCGATGTTTTTTTGGCGACTATCGATGTTTTTCTCACATTACCCCAAAAGTGCGGAAAATTTATTTTTAATTCAAGTTTACTGCACTAACATATTTTTAGATATTAAGCTGGTGGTGCAGAAGGAAAGCGGCGGTGGATTAAGCTTTTCATAATACCATCCAATAATACTATAATGTGAATATGCTGGCCACTTAGATTATTGCTGATCAAGTTTTTTAATTTTTTTGCCGAATAAATTCGAGTTATTCGCGATCATCAATATTTTTCAATATAATATAATATTACCTCGATGTTCCTAAAAAAATAATAAATAAAAATAAATATTTTTTCTCCACCCCCATAAGTTTTGTCATCACTAATTTTGCCGCTCGCCAAAAAACACAAATAATGAGGGGATTCCCTAAAATTTAGGGCCTAAACTGTTGAACTGCTAAATTGTTAAATTTTGGTCAGCTGTTAATCAGCAATTCCACAGCCTTATTTTTAAAAAATTATATCATTTCCCTAATATTTTAAAACTATTGTATGTATTTATACATTTTCAGAAAGTACGTTTTAATTTCAAATTCAAAATACGTTTAAATTCAAAATGCGGAGCTGCCAACTTATTTTCTAAAAACCATATAACACTTTTTTTAGCGAAGACACCCTTCTGTCATAGCTAGTACACCTACCTAGCTTAGCGAATGCAACGAATGGTGCTACCAGACCGGCAAAATTATAACTCATCTTTTCGGAAGAGGAAGGATGCTTGGCGCCTTAATTCAAAACATTTGAATAATATCCAAGAAGAATTTTGTTTTGTCTATTTTGGCGAGCCAGTTGAAAAATGCGATCGATGCTTAACTAATCCTGGCACATAGTTATTCTAGTCATTTCTTTGGAAGGATCTATGCACAAATAAACTTTAAAGGCTAAAAACAAGACCATATCGTAATAATAAATATCTTAAGTAACTAATTTCTTGGCACTCTCTTTCTCGATTTCCCAACATTTTAGATATGCTAAACTTGTCGCTTGCCATCCCGATTAAGAACTTTTACAACCTGTGTCCAGCTGCTTTGATTTGCGGCTACCCATCGACCTCCCACCCCCAGTTCACCACCCCTCCTAAAAACAACCCCAAAATAACCCTATAAACTTGTTGCGCAAGCTGCAATTGTCTGGGTGCCCTAACTTATTATGCACTGCGTGTCCACACACTGGATACTCGATTCCTCCTGGTTATTCATCCTGGTTATTCATCCTCATGCTTCATTGACCACTTTGAATGAGGGATTTCTTGAAAGTGGGTGGCCTATGAAGTCGGTATAAAATGGTATATAAACTCGAGAGCCGGCCACTCGGTCCTTTCAGTTGCGCTTTCTCTGGGACACGGAACAGGACGACCAGGAGGAGATCTCATATGAGCGGCAGAGCCTTTTGAGCAGACCGCCGACCAATGACCAAGACAACGATGCATTGGCTGGCCCACTTCCAGATCATCTTGCTATGTGAGTTTGGATTACATATAGGCTATATTAAAATACCTCTAAGAACCTGATTTTTCAGGCATCTGGTTGATGTGCCCCAGCTCCAGGGCCATAAAGTGCGATACTTGTGGCAAGGAGTGCGCCAGTGCCTGTGGCACCAAGCATTTTCGGTGAGTAACCGAATTTTTCTTTAAGTGTTTTTAATGGGTATTAAATATTTCACCCCAGGACCTGCTGTTTCAACTACCTTCGCAAGCGTTCCGATCCCGATGCACTGCGTCAGAGCTCCGACCGCAGGCTCATTGACTTCATCCTGCTGCAAGGACGCGCCCTCTTCACCCAGGAATTGCGCGAGAGACGCCACAATGGCACCCTGATGGACCTTGGCTTGAATAATTACTACCGCTAAATTACTACCCAAGATGGAACGATTTTTTACCGATAACTGACTCTGATTACGACTAACGACTACCGATTAATTATGATCCAATGGCAATGGTGGCATTCGAAATGCTTGAAATGTTAATTTACCAATAAAGGCACAAACTTCTTTGGGGCACTGTGCTTGATGAAGCAGTTTCGTAAGTTAATTACTCTGGTTAATTTTGATTTTGTATCAATTGCAGTTGTTATATTTTTACTAGATTTTTTTTTACATTTTTCATTGCCATCTTTTTTTTGGGTTTTCCTTGAGGTGTCTTTTGCAAAATAGTTGAGTCTCCTTTGTAGATCTAGAGCTGTCGGTTGTTCTTCTTCCCTACGTCTGCAGTCGTCGTCGTCGTCTCCGAATCGCCTAAGCCTGCGATTCGCTGATCTCCGCGGTGGCCTGAGTCCTCGAGTCCGAGGTGAGGTCGTCCTTGCCGCAGGCCAGGCAGGGCATCTTCTCCCTTAGTACTTGCTTGTACTTGGGGTGGCTAGAAATAGGGATAGGTATATCTGAAAATATGATGAGTAACCCAGAACCCACCTCAACCCGTAGACAATGGGATTGCACACCGCATTCGCCTTGGCAAACACCGATCCGCAGATGGTGCTCAGCGGACTCAGGTGCATGGACTCGAAGATGCCCGCGTAGTTGATGATGGTGTACGGGGTCCAGGCGAAGAACCACAGCGATATGGTGGTCAGCGCCACCTTGGCCAGCTTGATCTCGATGGCCTTGCTCTTGTCGGCCTCGCTGTTCCGCAAGGAGGCCACGTTCATCTTCTTGGCCTGCTCCCGCATGGCCTTCTCGTGGGCAGCCACCGCCTGAAATGAGGGGTATTAGTAAGTGGGAGAAGATTGTTCTTGAAAATAAGAAAATTTGTTCTTGAAAGTCGTGTAAGTAAGAGCACATTGCTCTTGAAAATGAGAGCAATTCTTCCTGAAAATAAGAGCATTGGTTCTTGCAAATGAGAGCATTTGTTCTTAAAAACAGTGTAAGTACGAGCATATTGCTCTTGAAAATAAGAACATTTGTTCTTGAAAATGAGAGCATTTGTTCTTGAAAATAAGAGAATTTGTTCTATAAACAGTGTAAGTGAGAGCACATTGCTTTTGTCTAAGAGAGCGTGTATGCGAGAGCAAATTGTTCTTGAAAATGAGAACATTGGTTTTTGAAAGCACAGTGCTCTTGAATTGAGAACATTCGTATTAGATAACCTTCTTCCTTCTACTTTCAATAAGATTTAAAGCCCAGAATTCTCTCTGTTTAGCAATAGTTGAATACCCACCTTCATGATGTGCCAGTAAGAGAAGATGATGGTCATCAGCGGCGTGAGATAGACCCACAGCGAGTAGACGATGATGTAGGACCTGTTCCACCAGTCCTTGGCGAAGTAATCCGTTCCGCAGGCGGTCATGTTGCCCTCGGGCACATAGCGGTTCCAGCCGAAGAGCGGCATCAAGGCCCAGGCTCCGCAGATGATCCACACCACCATGAGTCGCAGCACAGCCGCGGTGGCCGTCAGTGGCTTCCTGGCCATGCCCTTCACGATCACACAGTACCGATCGTAGGCGATCAGCGTCATCGACCAGATGGAAACGCAGCCGAAGAGCGAGCCAAACATGCCGTAGAGCTCACACAGGAAGGGACCCATGATCCAGGTGCCGTAGAAGCCATTCAGCACCACCGGCGGGAACATGGTGAACATCATCATGAAGTCCGAAAAAGCCAGATTGACCACGAACATATTCGAGGGAGTGCGCAGTCCCTTCGACGAGGTGAAGATGTACATCACAATGAAGTTGCCGCACAGCGACATGGTGCCCAGAATGGCGATCACGAAGCCAATGATGCCGAACCACATGGGCTCCAGGGGAGGCCACTGGTACCAGTAGGGATCCACCATGTGCATGATCTCGGCGGGCACGCTCTCCGCCAGGCTGAGATTGCGGCCATCGTTGCGCATGTAGCCGAAGCTCGGGGGATTCAGGCTGGCCATCTCTGGGGGGGAATATAGCTCGTAGCTCGCAGCTCTCTGGGATCGGTGCTTCTTCGGTGGTGGCTTCGTCTGTAGTTGGTTGGTTGACTACTCGCTGTCCATAACTCTCGGGACGCGGACTCGGCGGCAATGCCTGAGGCGGAAACCCAGCCAGGTTTTTATATTGTCCAACGTCTTAGACTAATTGCCCTAATCCAATTAGGAGGCACTTGGCCAATCCAAAGTTAGCCATTCGATTGCCGCAAATTTGCTGTGTCGGATTACCAGTAAGCCACGCTGGACAAGGTCAAGTTTGAGGCAGCTCCCAACCACCAACCACCACCCACCTGGCAATTAGATTAAGACAAACGCTTGCCTGCCTCGCCAAGTTCACGTTTTACTGACATATTTTATTTTTTATTCAGGCATGCCATTGGTAGCCCAGCTTGCGGGCTCCCCGCATCACGGAGGACAACTGGAACTGTAGGCTGCCGTAGGACTCCATGGACAAGCCTTTGCATTTTAGGTTGTCCAGCAGGACCTTGGGATCCTTTGAGCTCTGGCTCCCGACGCAGAAGCCAACTGGTGATGTCCGCCATCATATTGGGACACTTGGGCATCAGGATGGGAGCCTGCAGGAGGTCCTGATTGGAATCCACGGGACGTCGGGAGCCGAAAACGGGAAGGTGGATGTGGGCGTAGCCAAGGAGTGTTTCCCGCCCTCTTCCACTGCTTCCGAACACGCTCACCAGGATCTGGGGCCCTGAAATGGAAGAGGATTCGAGTAAGTATTTAATATGGATCTCAGTTACAGATAAAGAGGTTCTCTTAAATTTTAGTTCCTAAATCTTCTACAAAAAAAGTATATTTTATATAGTAGTTTGAACTATAAGATAGCCTAAACAATTAATAATATTAATAAAAGGTTCTTTTCAATTCAATTCAATTAGTTACATTATATTACATTTAATTAAATTATACTAACTTAAAGCATTTTTCTTAAAAATTTGTCTTTGGTAAATAGCAAATGTAATATTACAAATATAGAAACTGATTTTGTTTGGATTATGTTTAACTTTTTTTAACTTTCAAATTACCCTAACTAATTTTAGTGGATATTATTCAAAGTATTCTGATTAAGTATAATTTTATATATATTTTTTTTTTAAGTTTAAAGTTACCTTTTTTCTAGATATACTTCCAAGGTATTCGTATTAAGTTTAATTTCTGTATATATTTTTACTGCGAAACTACTTAAAATATTTGATCTGGGTATTATTTAAACTATTCCTATTAACTTAAATTTCTGTATAATATTTTTACCCACAGCCAAAGGGACTGGTGCTCTTGTAGGTGACCTCGATGGGCATATTGAAGACGATGGGTTCGTTAAAGTGGCCCCTCTTGTTGGTGGCCAGCTGGGTGAGTCCGTGCTGGGGACCCGAGGCCAACTGCCAGTCGGGACCGGCGACCAGTTCGTAGCGCAGGAAGACGAACTCCTTGTCGGGACCCAAGGGAAAGGTGGCCGAGACTATTTGGCCCACGATGCTCAGGCTGAAGTAGCTGGCAGTGGCTTTTGCGTCCATTGGATCGGGAATACTTTCCACTTTGGCACTCTTGGACTTCTTTCTGCCCTTCTTTTTGGTCCTTTGTTTATGTTTTTCATGCGGCGGAGTGGTGTCCTCGTTGCCCGGGAGACTGAGGCCCTCGCTGGCGCTCATGGTGGTGTTTTCCGACTCTTAAGGGGGTGTGTTACCAACTATTTTCCACCAACTATTTTCCACCTGACAACTGGCAGCAATAAAGGAGTGTTGGAAAAGGTGGACAGTTTTGACAACTTTAAAAAGAGTCAATCGATATATTAAAATTTATGTATTAAGCTTCTTAGCTTGGTCAAAATGTAAATGGGTTAATATATATAAAATAATCGTAGCAATGGCTACAAAAAAATATAGGTAATATTTAATTGCCTTTTAATCAGAGAATAAATAAAAAAATATTTAGCTTCTATTGCAAAATCATTTTTTATGCATTTATTAAATTCTTTATAGAGCTTTAAACACGCGCCATAATATTTTTTACATTTAATAACAGAAAGAGTCATCGGATTTCCAAACATATTTACCATTATTTGCTATTCTGCATTTTTATGGCGTTGGTAGAACTTATAATTATATCACCGCACTTGTGTAATAAATTCAATTCCTTATGTTACGCATATGGCCAGTGTAAAACAGAAAATAACTAAGATAAGCAATTTCTTCTGTTTTGTTTTTGCCTTTGTTGAGAAATACTTGAGAAACACTCGGCACTTATTGATTGTAAATCTGGATAGTATACGACCTGTCGGTATTTAATAATAGTTTAGATAAAGCTCCGTGGATAATTTGTATTTCTTGCTGATTTAATGAGCCAACATGTTCATAAATCACATTAATGATATCTTTCGGTATTCGGAATTGTAAGTACATTAGTAGTTTTCCTTTGTCTCGTTAATTTAGTTAGGGAAACAACTTATTTTATTCACACAGTTTGTCAATTGTCAAGTTCAGTTGGTCTGGTCATGTCGACGCCAATGTAATTTAATACCATCCGAGTTACAAGCTCGTTCTAGTTTGCATACTTCGATATCCATATCCAGCTAGGAATATAGAATATAGAAGTAGCATATCTGCACACCGCTAATACGTGACAATTACAAGATAATAATTCATTTTCAGCCGGCAGTCTAGGAGGGGCAAAAGGTCAATTACAATCGACACACGGCTCGAGGCACTGACTCAGCGACTCAGAGTCCAGCTTCTTGGGCTCTTTTGTGTAATTAATGCTGTAATGGCCATTTAGCAATTTATAGCTGCCAACGCGACATGCCTGTAAATCATTGTGACAATTGCCGGCGCTACCGAAACGGGAAGTCGCGCCTCCGATCTTCGATCTTGGATCTCCGGTTCTCCGCTGCCGCTCCCTATTAACATGATGCATTATGCAATCGAAAACTGGCCAACAGCCAGTCAGAGTCACTTAGCATTTCCATGCCTCTTGGCGTAATTAAAATGCGCCTCAAATAATGTCAATGGTTCAAGGCGAGATCCCAGGTCCAACACCTTTTATGATATGCTAAAACATCTTCTCAAGACGCACCGATCTTCGATCTTGGTGCTGCAATCACAGCCGGATCAAGTGCTTACACTGGGAGAAATAACAGTCGGATAGAAAATATATTTTTAATTTAAATTGCTTTGAAAATAAATAGGAAATAGGAATGTTATGAAACATTTTAATTTAAACTTGGTATGAAAATAGTTTACTTATTTCCAATGTGATTTTTTTAATAAAATCTACATTTACGGAAATATTTAAAAATAATTTTCGTCTATGATTATTGTCATAACTAATAGCTAAACATTAACATTCCTAAAATTTCAAACTCCTTGCTAATTGTATTTGTGTTTTATTAATCAATATGTTTTAAAAATGTATATTCTTATATCCCAATTGTATATGTATTTTTAATAGAACATACTTACTTAAATATTCGAAAATAATTTTATATAATTTGTATAGTATAAATCAAATCTAAATTTTTTGGGTTTTTTTAATCAACTAGTTTTTTATTCAAGAATATTTCCTTAAAAATGTGCTAAAATAAAATGATATTTCTACTTAAAATACGATTAAAAGCATAAATTAATCATCGCGGATTACCCATTTAAAAAAAATGATATGATGTTTCCGAAAATGCTGACTATCAAAACAATTTCTCCACGACTTTAGAGAACTTACTCACGATGGTCGTACGATTTTTGACAGCATGTTCTGTGTGTGGTGTGCGACATGTGCAGTTCCTCGGAATAAGCTCCTTTGATAGCCAAAGCAAAAGCTTAGGCTTAGTCAGTCTGAGGGGAGCCGAAAGCAAAGTAAAGGCATCGGGCCATCAGAAATCGGACATCAGGCCATATGCCATAAGCCATAAGCCGTTTACTGCAATCGGAGATAATGCTGACGCAGCGCAGAATCGACATAATTTCGGCTCGGGTTTATAGCATTATTATGCCCCGCGATTTCGACAATTTTTCGCTTCTAATACTGCATAATACTCATACCCATACCCACACTCAGCCGAGTATTCGCAATGCCATATCTGCATTCAATTACGTTTTCGGAATCAATGAACAGAAGAATTATTCAGAAAGAAATATAAATTTGGGGCCTTATATAAAACCGATTCATATCCATTGAATGGCCTGGTGTAAATGAAAATTTTCAATTGAAGTCTTTTTTCGAGCAAGTGCATTGGCCACTGCATTGGCATTGCATTACTGAAAGCCGAGCGCCGATTTGCGCAATGCAAAATGCTCTGGTTTTCTGGAGCGGTTCAGTGGACGATTAGGGTCGGAATCCTATGCAGATGTCTAATATCTTTCCCCAACCGGGCAGACAGTTCAAAGAGCCCGTTCAGATCCCGGAAAATTGAATTATGCCTGCGTATGTACTTGAATTTTAGTCAATTTTTATGATCTTGCCTTTCAGCGGGCACTCATCTTTTATGGCGATAGAGAGCGGGAGATCGGGCTGCTCATTGTACTTCTGCTACTTTTAAAATGTTTTTAATTTCAACTCACTTCAAGTCTTTTCCACATGATACTCATAAATATTTGCAAGCCTAGTGGATATGATTTGCACGCCCGTTGCTGTGGCGTTCGCCATTCGGTCTTCATTTCAAGGAACATAAGTACACTGATCTCAAAAAGGGTTTCTAACAAGGAACTATATTTTAAAATATATGAAATTACATTTTAATTAATATTTATTTATTACATGCAGAAAAAAACAAACAACTTGCATATTGGATCACTTTGGGGTCTTAGTACACATTTTCGAATTATTACCAAATTTAGGTTTATTTTATAGATTTCTATGTACAACCGTTTTTGCTCCCTATTGAACCTAATTATATTTCTTATCAAACACATGTTAACTATTTAAGAAATATTCTAAAAAATAAAGTCAAGGCTACCATCAAGTTTGAGATAAAAATGTAAATAGTTTGGAATCAAAATTGTGTGCCTGGTTTTGGGTGGCACATTTCCCTCTGTGCATCTATATATAAACCACTATTGGTTTATATTTTGCGCGTTGCGTGGGCGTGGGCTAGTCTCAGGGTCAACGCACGTCGGCCAGCTCCCAGCGATCCCCCAACCCCATCCACATCCCCATCACCATCTCTACAGATCTATAACCATCCCCGATTCGCATCTAGATCGCCATCAGCATCGCCATCTGTGTGTGCTGCTGTCATAGTGGCTGCTCTATGCTGTAGTAGTTGAATGGATGATATATGCCATACAGTTAAGTGAAATGTATCTTCGAGATACATACGCCAACTATGGGAGTACAACAAATGCCTCTTACGCATGCCTCTCTATTTCGATCGCGATTCCCATTTCGATTCCTGTCGCTGATTGACAGCGCACGTAATTGAGTTTGATTTTTGCGAATTTCCAGAATTTAGACATCATCATCGAACCGATGAGGGCCTGAAATTGGGGGCTCTTTAAGATAGGTTTGTGTTTAGTTAGCCCACAAAAATATTTGATTCGATTCGCTTCGTTTCGTTTCGGTTTGATTGAGCAGCTGTCAGGGCAACTTTAAAACCTGAGCTCTCAATAATTCCAGAGGGATGGGAATGGGCATCGCAAGCCTTCGATCATTCAATCAGGATCAATATTTATCAATCAATCAAGTGTGTGGGTGAGTGAGTGAGAAGAGAGAGACTGAATGGAACTATCCGCGAGCAATACAGAGATACAGAAACGCGCCGAAAACTTTTGGGCCATTCCAACTCACGCACTTACTCGCTTACAAACATAATACTTGGGTATACAAACAGACATACCGACATGGACCGACGCAATTGACTAAGAGGCCTGCGCGTGTTGGACGCACGGACGGATAAACAGACAGCCAGTCTGACAGGGAACATCTGAGCATCTTTGATACTGATCCGCAGTCTAGGGCCCTTCAGTCTGCCAAACGGAATTGCATGCAATATGATGCGATATGATGCAAGGGGGGTAGGGATCTTCACCTGAGTCCAAAAGGGGTTCCCAACTTATGGGGCAATGGATTCGCTGCTATTTTTACTGCTAAACAAAAACTTTATGGCTGCGCGTGCTGCCCGGCTGGCTAATGATCTAAATGCGTTAATTATTAAGATGATACAATGCGATGTGGATCTAGCATCTACACATAGATGGATAGACAGATAGATACATTGTGGTCAGCTTTTGGTTCCGCGTGGAGATCTCCAGATCTCGATCATTAACATCTGAAAAGCAGCGGCGTCTCTTTGAGCAGCATTTCCTAATTTAGACAGCATGCTGCCCCCTTATTATTCCAGATTAGCAAAGGATTTGCTAGCAAACTGAAACATTATAACATAATAAGTCTCCAGCCGAGTAAGGTATTTATTTAGTCAGCTCTGTAAACATCGGTTCGCTGTAATAAAAACTATCTAGTGCCTGCAGACTTTTATGGCTCTTTTGTAAGATTTGTTGTTCTGGCTGCTGTTTTATGTTGGCTTCATTTTCGAATGCCGGCGGTTGGTTTGTTGTTGATTACAAAACAAGCAAAACAATGCAACATCGCTCTTCCCGGAATCTTTTGAGCTGTTTTTCATTAGTCCATCGCACACTCATCCCCAGACATATATCATATTTTCGAATATTTTTCAGACTGAATATTTCGCCGACTGGAAGCCAGCGAAATGGATTTTTAATTTCCAACTATACTTTAATTTGGCAAACGAGCTCTCGTCTTCTAATTGATTAATTCTTATTGCTGCGTTTGATTAAAGAAAATATTTAGTATACAATAGGGTCAATTGCTACATATGGTAATTTGGCATACAAGACATTTATGTGGAAGAGTTCTCGGCGTTCGAATAATGGAGCGGATCGCAACTATTTTTATTCACTGACGCGATCACTAGATTGATCTTGACCCACATCGGATGGTTTGGGATCCAGCAGATGTCGCACGCTCCTCGAATAAATGGCCTAAAAATCCAAATGTATCATAAAGACAACTTCAAACTGACACAATATTTGTGCAAAATTATCAAAGATGGCTAGGATCTTACATGGCTGATTAAGATAATATTTGTGACAGAGTGTTTATTTTTGGAAATGTGTAATTTTATTTGCAGAACCAAATAGAGGGTCATGTAATTCAAAATACGTCAAAGTTATTGTAGGTTTTTTTTATGAACCACTGATCTTTAGTTCTTTGATTTTTCATTCAACTTCCGTTTTTTCGTTCATAATGAGTTTACAGGAAATCCAGCCAAAGTGTTGACTAATGAGCAAAGGAATTTAGCATTAAAGTCATCTTCCGCTCTATGCTTTTTGTCATAACTACTTTTACTTTGGAAATTCAATGGTAGAGTTGAGTAATACTCATCGGATAAAATGTTTTAGGCAATGACAATTTTCTAGCGAAAGTTCCTAGCTCGATTATGTAGCACAATATGTAGGCAAATTTTTAGTGACTAGTAATTATTCATTATACTTACTCGGTTTCCACAAATATTTTAAGTCCTTTTTAATGAATAATTTTTAATAAAAATTATTTAATTTTAGTTAGCCAAAAATAAAACATAAAAAACCACTGCCGCGAATTCTTTAGTTGTATACTCTTCAACAGAAATACCAGAACACTGCCACCAAAACAAATATTATTACATAATCTAAAATAATTTTAAATTAATAGGTACTAAAAACATCTTGTTTAAATTTAAGTTGCAAGATAAAAAAAATATATTTCTAGGATAGTGGACTTTCACTTTTATTCTTTTGGCCTGATAAGATTCTGGGGATCTGGACCAGTCGACCTTGCGGCCGGATGTGAACATTGTTACTATGTCATGTTTAAGATCTTATCTTATCTTGAATAACAAGATAGGGGAATTGGCCACTCTAAAGGTTATAGAACCTTGCCGAGCACATAATCCGCACATGTGCGAAAGTATCGAATAATACAGAGGGAAGTTAAGAGAGAGGGAGAGAGAGGGCGAAATTAAGCGCAAGTTTAAGCTAAGCTCGCCGCGGGTTTTTCTCTCTTCTTTGGCAGACCTCTCTAGTCTCTTGCTCTCGTTCTCTCTGGACCGGCTGACTTAGGATCGCATGGTATGGGGGTATGTGGTTGGGAGAACCGCTATATCATGGGCTTCTGGCCTCTTCCTGCGCCGGGCTTTATCAGCCAAAAAAGCATTCCCTTTGGGACCCTAGAATTCCCAGTATCCCTCCATGTGTCGGCGTAGCGATGAGAGAGTACGCGCTGCTTTTTTTGCCGCTGAGTGTTCGAGCAGCGATCTCAGATTGCTCGGCGGTCCGATCCGCTTGCCATAAGTTGCCGCTACCAACTGCCGATCGCGGAGCATTCAGTCCGCAGCGGGAACTCAAGCGAGCCGAAACGAAACATCGCCAGATACATATTGGCTGTTTTATAGCACTTGGTCAGTCGGCTCGTTCTCCTCGCTCTTTCGATTCTTTTCATTTCGTTTGTTTTGCGCGCGCGGCAATTTGGCAATTGCTTGAATTAAGTTTATAATTTCTATTCCCGAATAACCGAAACTCCCCGAACAACCGATCCTAACGCGCCAGTGAATCCTAGATCCTGAAGCCATGTCGACGATGGTGCGGCGGTGATACTATGCCATCCAATCTCGTTCTTGTGAACTCTGACATGGTTCTCGGTTTTGGGACAACCTTCACCGCCGAAAAGCTGAAAAGAAAGCCAACCCAGAATGCCAAAGGTGACCTGACCAAGTTAATGGTGCAGCTCGAAAGTGAATGCAATCGCGATGTGTGAAGTTTAAGCTCTTTAGCTTAACATTGGCCAGCCACGAAAATTGTGTGATTCGGCAAAAAGATTCATCATGATATCGTACAATCGCTCCAGTAGTTTATCTTGGCTAATCGCAGCATAACGCATAAGTGTGAGTCGTTTTAAAGCCTTTTTTGCTCTTTTTCGACGGGTGCGGAGACTGTCGCATTTCAATTAACAAAATAAGCAAAGCCAAAGAGCCAAAGAGCCAACACAAGTGTATACAAATAGGTACAAAGCACAGTGGATTGTGGTGCGATTTCGCGCGAATTTCTGCACGTGCCACGCGAAGATTGGAATCGCCATATCATTATGTCCACGCCGGAAGCCGAAGCCGCCGGTTCACCTGGCCAGGAGGTCGAGTGCCATCGTCTGCTGGCCAGTTCCATCGAGCAGGTGGATCAGCCCAAGTCGCCCGCCTTCTCGTATGCCAGCACCACCCTAAGGTCCACCACTTCCGGTCACAGCATCCGTACGAACAGCACCACCATCTGCGAGTCACCGGGACTGGGAACCTCCTCCTCCTCCTCGGAAGAAGAAGATGACCTTGACTGCTATCTGCGGGGGGCGACGAACGACCTTGGGGATGCCGGCCTGCGCTACTCCTTCAAGGGATCACCGCCGGAGCTCTACTCGCCCAGGAAGGACTTCATTTCAAAGGGACCGCTGCTGGACAGACAGGTAGGTGGTCCCAAAACTTGAAAGAACGATTTGTTTGGAGGCCTAGTATTCGTATTTCAACAGCCTTTTGTCTGGCGATTTTTCATTTATTTTTGTTTGCACTCCCCGCTTTATCGAAATCGGCTGGCCCAGCGAAAAGCAAATTCAAGTTAATTTATTGCATTGATTCCACATCGATGTGTCGAGTTCTTTCCTTTCTTTTATAATTTCGGTTGATTTGTCGATATATTTTGGTGTGCTCGTCTCGTTTTCGTATGCCGCATTGTTTTTTGTTTCTCTTTTTTTCGATTTTGATTAAATACCGATGGGACACAAAGAAAGCGGCGACCATCGCATTTGAATTCACACGCTTCACTGGGCACCCGGCAACTAAAAAGCGGAAAAGAGATCGCGATCGAGATCTCATTGTCGATTTTATTTGATTTTCGGCGACCTCACGGCTTCGGCGGCTTGAATGCGACTGCAGAATGCAACGTTTGTCGGATACTTCGGAGCACTTCGTTCCAAAAGCTCCGAGATGCATTCGCATTTTGAAAAACAAAACCAAAAAATAAAAGTGAGTCACCTGGTCTATGGTCTCTGCTCTATAATCTATGGCCTATGCCCATCCATTTGCGTCAGTTAGGGACTGCTGATATATTTTTGGGACGTGTGTTTCCGTCACTCCTTATCGCGATGGCTCTGCAGCAGCACTTTTTTTTGGGAAAGCTGGTTCTGCATCTAGAGCACATGTCTCCCAAGATAAGCGGTAAAAGTTATCTAAGAAGGTGGCAGTTGGATAAAAAGTAAATAAATTTAAGACACTCCATATAGTCATCCACAAATCCCGGGAAAAGACGCCCCTGTCTGGATGAAAGCTCTAAAGCGATAGTACGAACTGTTTGTTACCCATTAGTTGGCCGAATTTACATGCAAATGCAGCTCAGTTTCAAGATCGCTTTAGGAACTACCCGACCTGGTTGGAAAGCGGCTGATAATTAGGATTTACAGAGCTCAACAAGGTGTGAAAAGCAGTCGTTGGGGACGTGACGAAACATGGCCAACTGACTTACAGGCCATTAGAATTTTATCAACGTCCGCCAGGCGACGGGCGATGTAAAATTTGAAAAACAACACGAACCCGGGACCCGTGAATACATAATACATTATGTTGGGTGCGAATTAGGAAGTCTGTGGGCTATAACCCAGCGACTATAACTGATAACGGGCCATGTGTAACGACGTAACCCCCTGGGGACCTGAAAAATAGGATGGATCGGAATGGTAGGGGTTAGTTGGGCGTGCTGAAAGCTGTCTATATGCCTCCCCTCCCATATATAAAGAATCTATTCACTGAATGTGTGACATATTCAGTTCGGTTCGGTTCGGAAATCTCTGTGCACTGACATGGCCGTTTCGAAAATAGATTTTCTAATTTTTTATGTGGCGCCTAGTCTCCCGGCAATTTGAGGAATACTTGTAAGTAACGCTCTGTGTATTAGGGTGCGCTGTCCAATTTGTATTTCGACGATGAAATTTGCACAATGTGTAGAATTTGAATATTTATTTTCTTGGCTTTTTGTTATTGTTTTGTTTTGTTTCGTTTTTTTTTTCTTTTGTGAGCCGTACGTCGTCGCTTTGCGCGTGTTTCTCTGTCCCCGTGGCTTCTCGTTATTCATTTTGTCTTCAATTTATTTCGTCTACTTTAAATAAAAATGAAGAAAATTCGTAGCGTTCATTGACATTAAAAATGAGCAAAAATAATGCAGAGAAAAGAAGTCTGAAATTGAACATTTGTCAGTCGCCAAAATGTTTTAGTACCCGAAATATGTGGGTGTTGACGAAACCGAATTCGCGGATGACCCGCGAAGATCTGCAGAAAATCGGATTGTGGCCTACGTGTAATGATCGTCAAGTATTCAGCTCGGCTCTCGGCTGCCCGGTGATTAATGCTATATATAACCACATAACCATAACCCATTCTTATGCAAATGAGGAGGGCGTGGCCTTGCAGCCCTTTTGCTTGTCTGTACGGGGTGACAAATAATTTGTCGGAATATTAATGCCGTCAGAGAACAAAAAAAAGAAACCAGATACAATGGCAAAAGGCCCCAAAACAATTTCAATTTCAAGTAAAAAGGCCAAAAAACCAGCAAATAATTTTAAGTGTGATGCCGGGGCGTGACTTTGGGGTGCTGTGCTTATGCTTTTCGGTGGGTTATTTTGAATTTAATTTATATTTCTTTTGGCAAAAGATATATACGTGATCTGCATGCAAACACTTCGGCGAAGGCCCGCATCCCCCGCCCCTCCCTCTCCCCCTCGGGAAACCACCCACGTTACCCGCAATACCAAAGTCCCAAGTGCTCATTTTCTAGCTTACGAAAACTGTCAAAATGATGAAAAAATGTTTATAAAAGTCTTAAGAAATATTTTATAAAAGAAAGTCGAAGTTGGATTACTCTCTTTTGATATTTAAATTTTAATTAATCTTAAAATCATATCTTAAGATTACAGAAAAATATTATTTATAAATTTAAAAAAATATCTTTATTAATTTATGGGTAGTAATTTTATATCTTTTGTTTACTTTGCTAATTAATAAGTCATAAACAAAAGGGTATAAGAAAACATCATCAAAGCATTTCGGACCTAGACAAGTGATTGCTCATTTTAATTAATTCTTTTTTAATTTATCAGTCAAGATTAATGTTAAACATGTTCAATCTGGCTAGTGGTTGCTTTTGGAAACCGAATTCGGATTCGAATACGGCGTTGGCCCAGCCGGGGTTTCTGTGTTAATAATTTAAATATGGATTTTAGCGGCCTTTTTCGGCGGGGTATTAGCATAATTGGGGGCCAGTGTTCATCCCCGGACAAGCTGCCAAGCTAATCCACTCAAGGCGAAAACACCTCTAATAATTACCTGTCCAATTTTTCTTCACATTCGGGTGATTTTTCTATCGATTTAGTAACTTGTGTCTCTGCTGAATGAATTTTTCAACAAATTATTTGGCTATTTTTGGCCTTTTGGGTAAATATAAAAATTTGTTTAACCGACTCCGTGGGCTTTACATCAAAAGGCGGAACCGCCCATAGAGCGGTTTTCAGTTTCAACTCGGCTTGATTGTCTTCTTGGCCATTTGAATGCTTTATTTGGTATTTAGTTTTTAGTTTCTGGCCCCATCCCTAGTAGGACGGGTCGGACCAAAACCCGACTTACCTGCCCCATTCCGAAAAACGACAACCTGAGCCTATCTTAATGATTTTTTATTTATTTGCTGCCATTTGTTGTGAGCCGTCTTATCGCGTTTGTGACCATTTCGAGCCCGAGCGTGTAACATCACTTTACATAAATCCATTATATTTTATTTTTAACGACACTCTTTTAATTATTTCGCCCCGCTGGTGGCATCATCATCATCAAACTCATACCCATCGTGATCCCATCTTCACGGTCAAGGCAAATGCTGGATCATCGCGGCATTATCGATACTGTCGCTTTGCATATAAATTTTGGGAATCGGACGAGACGGCGACGAGGACAGAGTCTCTTTGGGGCGGTGCGTCTTTATTCATATACTAAACTCTACTCTTCTGAATTCAGAAGTCAGAAGTGGTTTAGCTGGGCTCTCGGGCTCGGCATTTATTTGAAAGCAATTTGGAAACCTTGGGGCATCATCACTTTATCATCGCCGGCGGTTAGGATGGGTGCAGCATAAGCCGAGCGCAGTCCGCGATCTAAATACAAAAAGAAGGTTCCTTAATGGCATCGCTGCTCTTTTTTCTTTCCATTTCGTTATTGTTTTATTATTGCTGCCCTCGCTGCTTTTTATTAATATTTTTCGAAGGAGGAGGAATTCGGATATTTGTTGTGGTTTTATATGTGTCTGCTGTGCCTTTGTCTCGATTCCTCGGAATTAGACAATGTTCTTGGTCTTCGATCTATGCGGGGTGTTATTTATCCATATATGTTTGCATGTATTTTACTCCTTCATTCGGGGTGGCATGATTTATGGGGCAAGTGATGTCGTTTTGATGGCGCATCACGTATACGCCCAGCGGTACCATGCAATTCGCCAGAAACCGCAGCCCCCAAAGCCCGTTCTTCTGGGATCTGGGAACCCCGAGAGCGATACCTGACATCTATAAATATAACCTATAATCGCATTATTGCCACACGCCCTCCGTTTTGCGATTTGGTGAAATCGAATCCGAAAATTCGCCATCTCTGCCGCAGGGCATTTGCCTAACGGTTTCGACAACTGAGCGGCAACCTAAAACAAAACAGCTCGTCATTTGCATAGAAAATCAATTCAAAGCCATTAATAAATCGACCTGTTTTATTTATTATTTATTTACATTTCGCTCGTCGCTTTAATCAAATATTTCCGCCTTTTAACATTGCATCGGATTTATTAGGCACATGATATGATAGCTCAGGTTAACCCGGTGAGATACATAACCTGCTATGATTTATAACGCACATATTGCAGCAAGTAAACAGCAGCTTCAAACAGTGTAAGACAGATTGTCTCATCTCGTTGTCCTCTGAAATAATTGGTTTACTTTGTTGCATTTGTTTGTTTTTAGCTTTATCATTTTGTCACCTTTCACGGTTCTGTAACTATCTGAAACTGTCCTACATAACCATTGTAATTTATCAGTAGTTTTTTATAGGTTTAAACAGAACAAAATTAGATTTCCTTTAAAATTTTGAAGATAAAGTTTTGAATCTTGTCTTTTTGATAAATTGAATATTTATTCAAAAAGTTTTAAATTTATTATTTCAAAAAACTATATGTACAAAGTATAATAACTGATATAATATTTTATTGCTATGTTTCAATTATAAAATTTACAAATTCGCCTTTTTATTTATATAAAATAAGGTCGAATTTACCCCTATCTCATATCAAATTTTATTTTGTGTAAAGAGAGTTTTTCTCTTTTAATCTGTCAAATTTTGCACTCTTCGCACAATTTATCATTAATAAAACTAGGACCACCCACGTGCCAAA